ATCAGTAAAGGCTTAGAAATTGCACCTTTTTTGAGTGCAGGAGAGGCCAGAAAGCAGAAATAAGGAATGGATAACAGAGTACCTTTCAAATGGGACATGAAGAAAGAAACAAACACTGCAACAACACGTACTTTCACATGAATGCTAAAAATCCAGTTAATAAATTGAGGGAAATCAAATGCCTAGTCTTATGCAAAGACAATAACATGGTGGACACGTGTAGGACACAGCAGTATCAGAACATAAAATATACAAAAAAGAGTCACCTCTGCTAGTGATGGGGTAGTGAAATTTATTAGGAGATCTTATAACAAATCAGATGAACAAAGTAGGGACCCAGCAGGTGACACAATCTGCATGCACCAAAATGCCAGCTTTAAGTGTATGTAATACTGAGTCTGCAGGCTGCCTGCCTGACAAGAAGGACAGAGAGAGTATGCTGAGAGAGATCCAATGGGCAAAGAGGGTGGGAAATACATCAAAACTGTACTACAGGTAAGCCTTGTGTTGTCTGGACACTGCAGCACTGGAATATAACACAGACTACATTAGGCTCCATCAATACTGCTTCACAGAGCAGTTGGACAGGGAAGCCACAGAAGAGATGCAGCCCTTCATGTGGTCCTCATTAATGTGCAAGATCTTTTCCTACATCTTCAGCTCATGATTATTGTTCCTGTGTTTATATGCAAAATTCCCACAGACTTGGCAATGGTCAAGCATTCACAGCAGTTGCACCCAGTTGCAAAAGGGACAGAGACATAGAAATGAGAAAGCCTGTGAAGAGGAAACAGAAAGGAGCAGCTAGGAACAGTAAATTCTTACCAGTGGAGCTGAATTTCCTTAAGGATGGACAGCACAGCATCAGTGTATGCCATCTACAAGCCTTAAGGACTGGTAAAAGAAAGTGGGCACAGATAAATTCACCACAGGGTAGAGTATTAGAAACAAGAAGTTGAAGTCATCTCCAAATGAAAATCACAGAAGGGATTGGAAACCACCACATTAAAGGAAAGCACAGTGAAAGAACAGTAAAAAAGTGTGAGTAGCAGCTAGCAAAAGGAATCCAAGCTAATATTAATTCTTTCCTTAGACACATCAAGACCAAGAAGTCCACTGTAGTCTGGCAGATCAAATGACAACTGCAGAGTATGACAGAGGAGAGGCCAAAACATTTCCAGAGAAGCTAAATGATGTATTTGCATGTGTTCACTGGAATATGCAGATGATCCCCATACTTGAACCCTTCTTTCTAAGGGAGTTGGCAGAGACTATGCCTGAAAGTGTGCTAACTGGGAAAGGCTGTAATCCAAATTATGCAGAGAAACAAATCCCCAGGCACCCAAGCTTTCTAAGGGAGTGTGGATAAGAAACAGCAGATCTACTAAGGGATCTGCTTTTCTCTTTGGGCTGTCTCTGCGCCCAGACACTGAAGGGTGGCAATGTGACACCGATCTCTAAAAGAGGTTCCAAGGGAAATGGAGAGACTGGATGGGCAATAGTAATGGCTGGCAAGCCTAACATCAGTGCCAGGCAAAGCAATAGAAACTGCAGTAAAGGCTAGAATTAGCGTGTACCTGGATAAATACAATCTATTTGGGCAGTGCCAACACATTTTCTATAAATTTAGTATTTACCATCTAGGCCTTTAGACAGTTTTTTGACAAGATCAGCAAGCATGTGGACAAGAGTGGTCTGGCTGATATGGTCCACCAGTAGTTTCTTGATCTGGATGAAAATTAGTAGGCACTCCTAATTGGAACTTGCTGTTCACATATTTCTATTGATTTGAGGGGGTTTTGTTGTAAAGAAATTATTTGTACCTTACTCCTATTATTTCTGAGAGTGAGACTGAAATAGCTTTTATTATTACCCACAGCTTACATGAAGCTGGGACTTGAACAAGAACTACCTGTCTGTGACTCAACACTCACACAACTTGAGATAAAGTTTGTGGGTGGACAGTGCATACAAATGAGTTTATAGAACTTCTCTCTGTGCTTGACACCATGGGTAACTCAGGGAGAGAGTATGAGAGTACTGCTGTCAGCTTTTCATCGCTGCACAAGTACTGCTGGTGAGCTGGTTTCATGTGCTTGATGCAGAATATATGAGGGAGAATGTGGAAGATGAAGATAGTACAGAACAGCACAGATCCCTTATGACTCAGATCTGCAGTGCTCCGCACATTCACTAACCATTAATAGGCTTCCAGACAAAATTTCAGAGTAGATTTTAAGCTATAAATTCTTCAGGATTTGGTTGCTTCAGAGATCATCTCTGTGTATAACGTACTCCCATTATAGAGATCATCTGTCATCTCCAAGCCAAACTTGTTCCTGGCCTTCAATTTTGAACTCACTCTCTTTCCTTTGCTGAGCTGTCAAGGAGTAAGCCTGCTCTTTATGGTATCTTGTGAGAGACTTACTCTACAACATTGCATGAGTACCTCTAGTTATATTTTTAAATGAAAAAATAAATTAAAAATGAAAAAGATAGTAATACTATGTAATCACTAAAATAACTAAACAGTACTATCACTTCTTGCTTTGTAAACCTCTTTATTTTTAATATACCTAAATAAGTCACAAAATTCTAAAAAAAAATTTACAAAAAGGTTAGAGTAGTGAAGAAAATGCAACTGCATGTAGAGTTCTAGTGAGCAATCTATTTAATTCATGCTTAATTAAATACCCTATTTCTTTAAGGAGTAAATCTACATTTCTTTTTCTTTTGGGGGGTCAATAATATGCCCATAGTACTAAACCATCAATTGTTACATATATTCTATTAAAAAGAAGCACTTCACTCTATAAAGTCCCTAAGTTTCATATCGTTTGTGTGTATTTCACAGTGCTGAAAGAGTTTGGCCATGCAGACTAACCTGGGGCTAGATCTATCACAGGCAGTATTTAAATGCCCCAATAGGAACCTGTGGCTCGTATTTAGGTCCCATGGACACGCACAAATTTTGGAAACATCAGAAATCTCTTTTCAGCCAGTGACTCTGAAAGAAATACTCAGATGCTCTTGAAATGAATCCAAGTAACTAAGTCAAAGAATCACAGGATCTCTAATCATCTAAGTGCATCCCCCTGCTTAGAGCAGGGTCAGCTAGAACAGGTTGCCCTGGGTTGTATCCAGTTGCATTTTGAGTATCTCCACAGATGGAGAGTCACAACCTCTCTGGGAAATCTTCTCTGATGTCTGACCACTATCACAGTAAAAAACCTTTCCCTTCTGTTTAAAAATAATTTCCTGTATGTCAGTTTGTGCCTGTTGCCTCTTGCCCTTCACTGAATGCCACTGAGAAGAGTCTGTCTCCATCTTCTTTACTCTCACCAACTTTAGGTATTTAGATACATTGATAAGATCTCCCTGAGCCTTCTCTCCTCCAGCTCTCAGCCACTCCTCACATCTCAAATGCTCCAGTCCCTTAATCTCGTTTGTGGCTCTTTGCTGGATTCCTTCCAGTAAATCCATATCTTTCCTGCACTGGAAACTCCAGAACTGGATCCAGCACTCCAGATATGTCTCACCAGTGCTGAGTAGAGGAAAATGATCATCTGTCACAACCTGCTGACAACACTCCTCCTAATGCAGTCAGGGATACTGTTGGCCACCTTTGCCACAAGGGCACACTTCTGGCTCATGTTCAAACTGGTGTTCACCACTGTGCTGGTTTAAGCCCTGCCGGGACCGGAGACCATGTTGCCGTTGCCCGTCCCCCACCCTCAGCCGGTCAGGCTGGCAGTGAGGTACAAACCCCGGGTTAAAATAAGAAATTTAGTACAACAGTGTGATAAACAATCTGAACAACAACAGTAGCAATGATAGCAACAATAAACAGCAATAACAGTGAACAAGACAAAAGATATACAGAGAAATACTGCAAATGGTTACGGAACAAGCCCGCCATGAGCTCCCTGCCACGAAAGCCACCAAGGATAATGTTCCCGAGCTCCGACCTGACATCAGCATGGTATGAATAACTCCAAGGCTGGAGATCCCTTCCCCCTTCTCTGCTGGGGAAACTTAACCCTATTCTAGCTGAACCAGGACACCAGGACTCTCAGGTCCTTTTCTGTAAAGCTACTTTCCAGCCAGTTGGACCCCAGCCCATAGTAATGTGTGGGGACATTACTTAACAGATGCGGGATTTGGCATTTACCTTTGTTAAACTGCATGCAATTCCTCTTGGCCGATCTCTCCACTTTGTTGAGATCCCTCTGAATGGCAGCAGAATCATCTGGTGTATCAGCCACTCCTCCCAGTCTCCAACTCACTGCAAAATTGCTGAGAGTGCACCCTGTCCCATTGTCCAGGATCATTAATGAGGATGTTAAACAGTATTGGCCCCAGTGTTGACCCCAGGAGTACATCATTAGTGACTGCCCTCCAGCTGGACTTTGTGCCACTGATTATAATCTTTTGAAGCTGGCATTTCATCCAATTTTCAATCCACCTAACTGTCCACTTGTCTAGTCAGCAGTTTGTTAATGAGGAGACTATGACAGCCAGTATTGAAAACCTTGCTAAAGTTAAGATGATTAACATCCTCTGCTCTCTACTCATCCACCAAGCTAGTCATTTCATCACAGAAGGCCATCAGGTCAGTCAGGCATAATATTCCCTTCATAAATCCATATCAATGAGTCCCAATCATCTTCATGTCCTTAATATATTTGGAAATGTTTTCCAGAATTATTTTCTCTATCACCTTCTTGAGTATCGAGGTGAGGCTGACTGGCCCGTAGTTCCCCACATCCTCTTTCCTTTTCTTCTTGAAGCTAGCATGACATTTGCGTTGAACTTCCAGTCCTCCTCTGATTACTATGACCTTTCAAAGATACTTGAGACTGGCCTTGCAGTGACACCTACCAGCTCCCTCAGCACTTGTGGATGCAGCCCACTGGGTCTGATGAGCTTGTTTGTGACCCATTTGTTTAAATGTTTGATCTTCTCTGCTGAGGGTGTCTCCATCCCTCCTGATGCTCCCACTTGTCTCAGGGGCCTGGGATACCTGAAAGCAAATCTTCCTAATAAAGACAAAGGTGAAGAAGGCATTGAGTACCTCTGCCTTTCCCATGTCCTTTGTTACTACCACCCCACTCAGCAGCGGGCCCACATTTTTACTAGTCTTCCTTTTGCTGCTGATACAGTCGCAGAAGTCTTGACAGTGCAGAGCTATTTAGCTACTCACTTTTCTTTAAACTTTGTCAATAGAGTGGTCCACTAGGAAAGTTCCCAGATAGAGAAAGAGAAGGTGCTGTTGTACCTTTTAAAATAAATACATGAACAGTTTGGGCATCTTCACTATGAAAGGCTCAGATGCAATCCCTTTTTCTAAGAGGAACTTGAACCCACATTGGTCCAGATTAATTCAGTAACTACCAGGCTGAAGCAAGTTCTCAGTGTCTCCGTTTGGAGCTGATCTACTTTATTCAAAGCACAGACATATTAATTAGAGAACAAAGTGGATTTTTAGGTCTCCCTCTTCCCTTCCCCCACAAATGAGTACTGTTACTACTGGAGTACAGTCTTATTCATATTCTTGTTGTGACCTTTTGAATGTTCACTTACTAGTATAAAGTCCGACAGTTAGACTACGTTCCCCTTCTGAATCAAGCCCTTAACTTGACAATCTGAAGTTTTCAGAAAGACAAAGTGGTAAAAGTATATTGATTTTAAATTTAACTCAGGCATGGATGCAAAATGCAATTGTAATCCTACCTTAAAAATAGAATGATCCAACCACTAGCTTCAGAATTGAATCCTTATGGCAACAATAACCATATTTGTTAAACCTAGCATTTATCTTTAACCTTTACTCCCACACACTTTTATAGCCACAAGCCCTGCCGGAGAGGACATGACAGATGCGGCAAAGTAGGAACAAGGAAAAGGGAAGCCAAGAGTCCTGACTTTAAAAGCAAAAGTTAGTGGAGACTCCGAGTCAGAGTATATTTTATTCATCTAACAAAACATGTTTAAACACAAACATTGGACATAAAAAGAAAGCATGAGCAAACACAAACATAGTGCTGGAGATCACTTTAAACAGAAGTTGCCCTCATTTAGTTTATTTTTATAAACAATACCATGGATTTTGAGAGATTGCTAATGCTGTAATATAACACTGTAACAACGCTGTAATGAAACAAGTTTGGAATGGTAATCTCATGGTTTTAACCCAATACATAACTGAAAATAGACTTGGTTTATCCATTTCATGACATTGTCATTTTAGCTCCTTCCTGTTCCTGCTCTTAGTCTGAATTGAGAACAAAAGTTACTTCAAGTTTAGTTGGAAAAAGGAACTTTGGAAATTAAATTTTACCAATAATTTTCTGGCAAAACATGTATCTGTCTGGCCTCAGAAGCAGGCTGGAAACAGTGACAGAATGAGGTGCTTCACACTGTTCCTGCAAAGGGATTTCCCCTTAGTAACAACGTGTTGCTTTTGCAACTTGCATGGTACTTGGCAGTCATTCTCCCTAGAAGACTGCTGAAGAATAATTTCTTTTTCCCCATTTTATATGTGGAATACTCAAAGCAAAGAGCAGGTGAGTTGGACAAGATGACATTGTGATAGTAGTAAAGCCAGGAAACAGCCTGGATCTCCCCAGTTCCCAGCATCAGCCAAATCTTTTTGCATGTACCTGCCACCAAACAGCACAAGAGTAAAATGCACAGCTTTTCCTTTCTCTTTGCCTAGCTTTTATCTGAAACAGAGAAATAAAGACTGGTTCATGGACTCAATGACTGATCATTCCTTTGACATCCTTTAGCTACTTGTTTGTTACTAGTATTATAACTGCCTAAGGAAAAAAAAAAAAACCCATCAGTGCATGCCCACACATCTTGAATATTCCACCTGTTGGATTTATTTCCTGGGTTGGAGGCTTGTTTTCTTCTCACAAGGACAGATGAAAGCAGCAGGACACACAATCTAAGGCATCTCATACGACTGGCACTTCACCATCAGAGGTGAGAGTTGGGTCCCTTCTGCAGTCATTCCTGTACAAAAGTGTGCATCTCCCCTCTAATGTTGAAGTGCCTGGTAACATTCGAAGACTCTCATTCATGGTCACTCTGCGTTTAATGCTGTCTATTAAAAATACTATAAGCGTTCACTTTACATAACCAGTTGCAATTTAAATCAGTCCTGGGAGGGACAAGGGACTGGTGCAGCATTCTGGAAACAGCCCACTTTATAATTACTCCTCTCCATCATTTTTAATAGCTGTCAGTACACACACGAGTTATATCAAAGCAACTAAAGAGAGTTGCAAATAATCAGAAAATGGGCAAGTTCAGAAGGTACTTTGCTAGTTTTTGTATTGCCTGCTGGACAAGCTAAGATTGTAATGCCACCTACAGCATTAAAAAGTCAAAAAGATTGTGTATCTTTGATATTACATTAATTGTCAAGCAATTCAACTTTAAAAGCTTGCCTAACAATAGTAAGATTTTTCTCGAACAATCTGACACCTAAAATGACTACACAGTGAATTATGGGGAAGAAAACAAAAATCAGTTCAGCATCCCACATGATCTATTTGTTTTAAACAGTAATGCATTCTGCTACATCTATTTTGGCACTTACTTGCTAACAGCAGATGTCTCTGTGCTGCAACCAATGTATCAAGCAAGAAAAGAGCTCCAATGTTAAGCAAATGGTGAAAATTGTTCCTATTTTTTTTCTCCCTTTTTTTTTTTTTTAACCAGGATACTTTTTTTCCTTTAATTTTTCTGTTTCCATTTCATAATTATAGCTAAGCCTGGCCAGAAGTTAAACACCAAACTGCACTGGAATTTGGTGTAGTGCCCAATATCTAACTCTTCATTTCTTCTATTCCTAAAACACCTGAAATGAGGGAAAAATACCTGCACATACTATATAGTCACCTCTCTGGCCAGGTTATAGATGAAGGATTAGAGCATGCATGTAGAGCAAGATATAAATATGTGACAGCAGAGCCTACTGCCCAAAGACAATTATGCTTTGTTCCCCTTCTTTTTGTTATTTATATTTTTACATCAGGTATTTGAATATTTATCACAGTAGCTTTTGAATAATCTTTTCTAAGGCACAGTATGCAGTTTGATGCTCCTGTCCTCTTTACAGCTTTGAAAATTCCCCCTTTCCTTATTGCAAAGTGGTCAGGAGGCCAACAACAGTCTTTTTTTTCCCCTCTATGATTTATATCACAGTAAATGTATAACTTTTCATCATTCCCTAAAGTCATTCCTTAAAGTTAGACTTATTTCAACCTCAAGACTGCTGAATCATACTACAGGAAGAAAATGAATCTAAGAATAAATTGTTATCCGTCTTGAGAAACTGTCTCCTTCCTTTCTGCTAAAAATACAAGCTGCAGTGTAAGTATTTATCTTCCAAAGAGATCTACATTAATTTTTCCCAGAATCTTTCATATGCACATTTCCAATTCAATCTCTTCTCTAGAGGGTTAATAATTAGCAAACTGATGTCCCCAGCTGGTTTTGTTCAAAGTGCTGTCATCCTCCTGAATTCAGTCAACATCTATCAGAAACAAAGACGTCAAACAAAACATATTAGGCTTCAGTATTCTCTTGTGAAGTTTTGGCCTCCAGCCAGAAAATTTTGTTATTTTCTATGTAAGCTTTATTTTTCTTTCCCTGACCAGCAGTTAGTATGGATCAAAAGAACCATTGCTTTAAAAGGCAATCATAAAAATAATAAACACTAGCACTGACATAGCACTGTGCATCTTAGGTTAAGTCTTGCATCTGTTTTGGCTGTCCTTGTATTTGGGAACACGCTCCAATGTGGGCTTTCTGTGACTCCAGCTTTTTTCAGCATCCCATGAATGTCCTCTGTCTCCAGAGGGAGACAGAAAACCTTCTAGCTGTTTAGAGCTCTGTTTAAATATCATTTCCAGAAACTTTGAAGAATGTCCATGTCAGAATTCATTTTCTTCTTTTTGGTGTTATCCAAATGGATTAAATGCATCCAATTTCAAAAAGGAAATTTTGAATGATTTTGTGGTCCTGGTAGAAATAGGGTCAACCATTCCTGCCCTTTCTCACAGCTTATAGCTTTGCTTTGAATGTCATGGTATTACAGTCTATCCAGCAGCCCTTGAACCAGATTTAGCCACAGATACACCCCAGCAGACCCACATGGAACTAGGGACAGATATTTGTAAGCCTGCCAAAAGCTGTCCTGTGAGTCAGTCATATCTCAGTGCTTTGAACCAGGCAGTTGCTGTGCAGTAAGTTGCTGTTCCCCTGACATGTTACGAAAGAGAAAGAAAGGGGAGCCTGGGACATCGCTACCTCCTGCGCAAAAGTGAGGGCTGCAGCTTCCCCCAGCATGCTGTCCCCACCTGGGGTCCAGCTCCAGACCTGCTGAGGTAACTGGACCACTCAGAGGTACATCACAGACACATCTTCAAGCTACAAACCAAGTAAACAGATCATCAGGCATCCCACCACCTGGGTCTGTGACTTCTCTGAGAGAAAACAAAACTAAAACTACAGAGTAAAATGAAAGAAGAAGAAGAAAAAAGGTTTCTTTTCTGCATGTATCCTTTCCAGCCCCCCCCCCCCTCTTCATATAGTGACTCTGTGCCTTCACTTCCTTTACCCTGGATATGGATTTTAGGTACCCAGAGCAGATTAGGTGCCCTGTGTCCCACTGGCTGCTGTAGTAAATGAATTGTACGATTCAGCTTTACTCATTTCGGAACTGTCTCTTTCTATCCTGAGGCAGACCACAAATTTAACCTGAAGTGCTTCCCATATCCCAGTTGCATGAAATTTGTGTCCGCAGGGATCCTAAATTCTAGCTGTTGAACAGTTGTGTGGGTCAGAAGGCTAGAAGCTAGGTTTGGGCTAGAAGGCAGTGGGATGATCCATCAGCAGTGCCGCAAACACATACCAATATTTTCAGGTCAGGCTTACTCATCTTTATCCAGACCGAGCTGAAAGGGCCATCCAGCACTGTGGTGTACCTATTCTCCAGCAGTGGTGGTGGATTGATTTTTTTATTTCTAAATCACAGTTAGCCAATTTAACAGTGCCCACTGCCTTTGAAAGTGACCCTACCACTTATGTTGGCTGCTTATTGTTCAGCCCAGCTCTTCCCATGGTTATCTATCATATATTTCCTGCTGTGGTTTCAGTCCGTTACTTCTTGCTCTAGTCTTCCCAGCTAGTAAGAATAACTGATCCTTGTTCTCTTTATACTTTTGCTTTCACCAGTGAACAGCTCTTCCTTTCATCTTTCCTTCCATGAGGGTTTGCTTTGTGCTACATGAGAGTGAGTGGGCAAGCAACTGGTAAGAGCAGCTCACACTCACCCAACTTCCACTTTACATTCTTTCAATCAGGCAAGAATGAAGCAAATTCATATAGAAATAATGACAGTTAAAATCTAAATCGTCAGCCCAGACTAGATTCTGGAAGGTCAGTTGAAGATTGATGGCCAAGAACAAGATGGAGAAAGGAGCTCACATCAGCTTTCCTTCCCTCTTCCATAACTTAACTGCACTGGGACACCCAGACATGTGGTGCATATGCTCCAGGGGTGCTGTGTTCAGAGGGCAAGGCACTCCAGGAGCCTGCGGTGTTAAAAACAGCATCAGCTGTGTTCCTGGGTATGGTGTGTGGGGAAGAGCTACTCTGCTATTTATACTACAAATATTTTAAAGGGTGAAGTAGCTGCTCTTTCTGTAGGTATTATATTAATTTGTTCTTTCTAGATGGAAAGCCTCCTGGAGTTGTTCTGATGCATTTCCACATTTAACTGAATGGTACCTTACGTTTTTTATAGCCATCAATGTGTCCTATATGTACAACTCCATCTTCAGTATTTGCTTCTGAAACAACGTTTAAAGCAATTCAGTATGCCTCTCAACATCATTTTCATCCTACAGGACAACATAGGCAGCAGCAGAAACATTACCTTCTTACATTCTCGTAAGAATCCTTCTGATATTCTTGAATATTAAATACCAGAAAATATAGGTCATGTAAGCATTTAGGTAGGTGTCAGATTTCAGATGCATAATAGGTAAGCTTGCTATCATCAGGAGAAACTAGTACAGATAAAGCAGAATTATGCATAAGCTGTGCTAGAACCGTAACAAATGAAGCCTTACATGACTTAGAGTATTGTTTTACTTTATGTTAAAAGTTTATGTACTCCAGCTCATTGACAATGTCCAATGTTAGGGATTCTGCTTGCATACCTGAATGAACCTGAAAGCATCAAGCTCTGGGATGGAGTCCAAAACCCAGCATCAGTGAAGCCACGCAGCCCAAAGCTGCTGATGAGGTAGAGTCTGTCTTTTATCAGCTCTCTGCAAGCTTGCTTTTGGCTTCCAGCAAGGGCTTTCCACAGGCTTCACAGCTGTAATGCACACAGTTTGTGTCAGGAAGAAGTGGCAATGCAGATTTAATCAGGTTATGACTGGGTTCAAAGGCCTAAGATCATGTTTTAGAACAAACGACCTGAATAAACAGCTTCACAAGAGAAATATACTTGATGGGCTAATTTTCAGTATTCACTAAAAAACTAGAAGACAAAATATTGAGGATTTTTTGTACAGAATAAATGGAAACTTTTCATTTCTTAAGATGAACGTCTATCTATAAAAATATGAAAAGATACAGGGATAGTTTTGTTTTTCCAAAGTATGGTCTGAGACATTGACTCAGCTGTTGCATTCTACCAGTCAACCCAGTGGTTGTAGATGGCCTTCAAGCACCCAGTGACTGCCACCATTAGCTGCAGGCTGGCTGCCTCCATGGAAAGTTAGACCTTTAAGTGCATGATTCAGAGAAAGAATCTTCCCTATTTTCTTGTGCTAGCATGCAGAGGATAATAACTTTTAGCCCACTACACATTTCAAGATTTATCTTGTATCTACAAGTTTAGCTGCTGTTCTCACCGAAACTGTTTTGAAACATTTATTTCTGAGAACCGCAGGGAAATTTGGTCTGTAGGCTGAGGTTAAGAAAAGAGTAGGATTTGTTACAATATCAACAAGTCAATGAACAAAAATAAGCATCAGAAATAAAGGAAATGGTAACAGAAGCATTTTTGCTATTATCTAGCTGTGCACTTTTGGAAACGACTGCAGCTGAGAATCACTTTAGTGGTTATAAATTACCATGGTGTTACTCGCAAGCACTGCGGCAGGCTGGGTCTGGTACGCTTCCTTAGACAACTGCAGTTGCTTCGTCACAGGAGGATCAGGAAGGTCTAGAAGAGCTGCAGTATAAGGAAACAAGATTATAAAAACTAACACTTTGAAGTGAGCTTTATTACAAAATTATTGTCAATACCCTTTCTTATGGTTGTTTCTAAAATCAGAACCCAGATCATGGTCATCCTCCATAAAGATAATGTATATAGAAGGGGATCAGCAACTCTGCCGCTCTGAGAAGCTTACAGAATAAACAAAGAGAGGGAGAAATCTGCTTTCAACAGTGCTGTGGAATGACTACTTATAAAATGGATGTCTAAAATGATTAATAATTTCCATTTCTATGTCTTCATTTTACTTTTGCCATGTAAATTGGTAAGAAATGCTTGCATTGATACAGTCAAGAAACAAAACATTAAACCAAATGCATTTTCAGTGAATTACCTTTCCATCAAAGCAATCAGAACCAAAACATACCACAAAGATATATTTACTTATTTCCTTAATACTCAGGAACCCAAGTGGATTTTCCCATGAGTCACCAAATAAAAGAAAAACCCACAGACCAATGTAAGGACTTGCATTATCCCATTCCGAGCATTTCAGTGCATCCAGTTAAAGCTGTTGAGAATGAACACTGGGACTTGGAAAGCTGTAGTAACACAGCTTGGTAATGTGGCCATGGCTAAGAGCTGCACTGATACTTGCAGTCCTGCAACTTGGGAGTTTGGATGTTCATTTAATTAAACTTCTAAAAGATCCAGAGAAGATCCCTCTGATTTTTTCTCTGTACAGCTCGTTTTGTCAGCTCTGTGTGTACCACTACCATCTACTGGCCAAACCGAGACTGACTGTGTTCCAAGCATCAAGATCAACCTTAAATCATACCATCTCCGAACTGCGAAAAGCCCGTGAGTTTGCTCCTGGCAGTTACTTACACGAGGGCTGCATCAGATTCTAACAATCAGCGCCGGCCTGTAGGGGTTTAAAAATCAATAGTCCACTGATTATCAAGGGAAATACTATATTATAATTATAGCTAAAGAAGAAGCCCCCTTTTTTTTTTTTTTTTTTTTTTTTTTTGGTGTGCGTGTGTGTGTGAGGATTTAGATCCCAGTTGCTGAGTGTGTGCAATTTAGATTTTAACTAAAAAATTCTGCTTATATATAAATGCAGGGAGGGAGGAAGTGTATGACATGGCTTTCATTACAGTGTGTTTATTATTACAAGAGACTGAAGATGCCTGTTGCTACACTAAGGGAGGGGCAACATGATGAAAGGAAAAAGTAGGGGCTAAATTAAACAGGAATTTGTGCTATGGTGCCCTGGGAACCAGATCTGGTCAAGTCTTGCAAAGCGTGAAAAAACCTTCTTTTTCCCTACACTCCCTCTGGACTATACTGCACAGATTTCAAGCAGCCCCACGGCTCCTCTCATCATGACCCAGCCACAAAAGTCTGTGTGCGTGTGTGAAGGCAGGGCAAGAGAGGAGAGAAGAGAGAAGGATCCCTGTGCAAGGAATGTGCAATGCATCCAGGAGAGGCACAGCTGGAAAGGGCTTCGCTTAGGAGTGCCTTACGCCACAAGCCTTCACTCTGCCCATTTATGCTGGACATCTCCAGCATATGTATGTTCCCGTTACATCCCAGCTGGATGGGAGTCTGCGACAGCTGTATCAGGCATCTCTATCCCTCAGAGACATGCTGCAAGGACCGCTAAAAGGACCAGGAGGCAAATTTCCTCCTGGAATGGAGTCTGCAAAAATAAGCACATGGATTTTTTTCCAAACCCTAATATCTGGTAGACCAGGTTTGTCATATTTTGGTGCGAATGTATCTATCTATGGTGTATCTATCCATCTCCTAAGCAAGGAATTGCTATGAGAACATCTAACATTTTCAGTAAACACATTCAAAGAGGATGGTATGGCAGAGGAAAATGAAGCATTTATTTGCCTGCTTAGGCTCTGGTGAACCCAGTTCTTTGACACAGAAATTACTTCAGTGCTACTGTGGAAGCTACCACATGTGTGGAGACAGTCTGCAGAGCTCAGGTCTAGGTCCAGCAATGTAGCCAGAAAGGAGGCTGGTGCAAGCAGCCCCTCTTCGACCAGGATGACCTGGTGTGAAACCTGGGCCCTGCTGTTACGAGACACTAAATCCCGGCATCTAATTACAGCTGGGTAAAGATTAAAGAAAAATTACAACACAGAAGGTATTATTCACGCTTTAATTTTCCAGTTGAAATAATACAGTGAACCTCACTGCCAATATCATCAAGGTCAGCAGTAAAAACATAGTCACCACAAACTCTGATCAGCAACAGTATAGGAGACCTCTGATTAAGGCAAAACAAGCAAAAGCTATGGTAACAAAATCCAGAATGAGGACTAGAAAGCAATCAATGATTACATTCTTGAGTGAATAATACCTGCAATTATAAAAGCTAAATGATGAAAGATTTTAAAAGAAATATGTAAGGGTCTGTTCCCTCAGAACCATTTCAAAGTAGGAAGAAAACACTGCTTGAACTATTTTTTCCCTAGGGCAAGACCATCTACATCAGAGTCAATGTTAATTAGAGATCACTATTTTGAGGTTAGGGTTATTTATTATACCACTGCCCTTCAAATATATTTAAAAGATTACAACATACCTCAAAGAAAATTGATAAAAAGCCTATGTCAAGTTTTGTGAAAAAAAAAAAAAAGACACCTTCATTAACCACATCAAGATCTGACAAAAGTCTGTGTAACTAGGTAACAGCACTGCAGCCTGATAAATGCATGTCCTTGAAGATGACACAGCTTACTCTTGCAAACAAAAACCATCCTGCAAGCCATTGTGCTTATGGTAAGAAGGCAATTACACACTTGTCAGTGAATGTGATGAAGGGGATTTGTCGATTTAAGTTCCTCTAACTGTAGTTTAAATAGGTGAAATTCTGATGGGGAAGGGAGAGATGGTCACAACCTTCTTTTGGTGGTAAAGAAGCTATCACAGTTCATACATATAAACAACAGATTATCTGACACTTGTACTCAGAAGTTGAAGTCCACAACTCTAGTAGTGGGCTTCACATAAAAACAGTCCCATAGATAAATCTGGAGGACTAAAATCAAACTTATAAAACATTATGATAATGTATGGGGTCAAACTATTAGACAAAATATACACAAAAAAGCTATTTATATTTTATATGATGGAAAAATCTCAGATTGAGATCTTGTGATAGCTATGCCCATAGAAGTTATCAAAAACATTAAGTTGAAAATTATATTGGGATCAAAAGCATCTGCAGCCTCTTTGACAATGTTTTTGAACAGTTCTGTAAACCAGCACAGAAATATTCTATGTACTGAATAACTTTTTAAAACAGCCCTATACATAATTATGGCACAAACAGGCAACTTTTGTTTCTAGACTTTGCCATGTGAAATCTAACTATAAGACAGTCATACATTCCTGTGCACGTGAACAAATACCTTGTAAAAACATTTCAGTTGGCCTTGGCTGCTTGCTTAATTCTGAGGAACGTGCCTCCATCTTAGGGCTCTTGCAAAATTGTTAGAATGAGTCATCTTAAAACAAACAAGCCAACTAACCCAACAATAAACACAGCCCTTTGCAGCAGCTTTGAGAGACGACTGAGGGTGCAGTAAATCCATTCTGTAGTAACTTATCATGACTTATCATTTGTTTCTCCGTGTTGCAGTAAAAATAAAAAATAAAATACCCCCCCAACCTTTCAGGTATTTTCAGAGATGCAGCTGGAGGACTGGGTAGGGTGGTGGGAATCCCACGGAGAGTAAGTGTTGCTGTCCTGGGACACTGCAACTGAGGTAGTGCAGAGACCTGAGCTGGGTCCTTCACAACCACCCGGCTGCAGAACAACTGATCAGCGAAATTTATCTCCTTCATTAGCACCTTAGTACAAACACTGAAAGTGAAAAATGTCCTTTGGAGGGTCTGCTACATGGGCTTATAGGACTACAGCATCGTTTGGGAAGAGCAATGTGGCTCCCCCATATATTGTCCTTAGGATTTGTAACAGGTTTCTTCTTCAGATATTGCCCCAAAATATCTTTAAAAGAGGTTGATGGGATTCAATTTCTGAAATAACCTAGGTGAGAGATCACATAGTTAAATCTTTAACAGGATGCTGGAAGTGGCTCAGATGAATATATTAACTTCAGGATGACAAAATCCATATGCCATTATATCTCTAGACTAATTTATTTTATAACATGAACTAGGCATCATGGGCCAAATTACCAAAACTCTGGCACTCCCAAGTCAAAAGTGACTTCATCTCTCTGCTAGCTTGGAAATCCATCTGGCAAGAATCCACTGTCTGAAAAATAACTTGTTCATTTTGCAGAAGGAATGGATATTAAGAAAAAAAAAATCTACCCCATAATGCTTGAAATATGTTTCAGAGTTCCTAAATTCAAGGCCAAATTTTAATGCTGGCTCATGAGCAGATTCTGCAACATATAAAAACAAAAACACAAAAGCCCAAATGTTCCTTAAGGAAAAAGTTGCGTGAAAAGGCATGCTGCTGTGGGGCCTGGGACATGACTGCTCCATGTGAGCAGTTGAAAGTTTATGGTGTGGGAGTATTTTCAGTTCTGAGCTTGTCCCAAAGGATCCAATTTCTCCACAGTTTTGCCATGAATCTTCACCTCATCCTGCCACAAAGCAGAAGTGCTCCAAGGTAGGGAGCTCCTACAGCATTCATATGGATGGCTATGAGGGTTTCCACTGTACATGGGTGCCCAGGGGACTCCCAAGAAGGAGAAAACCACTGTAGAACATGGAGTGTCAGATGGAAGACATGACTGTTTATTTCCTATCAATTAATTGTTGTCGCTTGTCTCAAAATCAGAAATGAGGATGCTTTCTTCCAAAGCAGGAACATCAGCGTTAATCTGTGGCAAATAAGCATTTCTGACCCACAGTATCCTGTGGAAGAGTCGGTTATTCTGTTTGTACAGGCACCACACAAAAAGGGAAATGGCAGCCAGCATCACCAACGTCATAAGAACAGCCAGAGCTACAAGCGCATGGTATGATGCTGAAAGGGAAGGACAGAAATTGTTAACAAGCTAATATAGATATAATTATAGATAATTCTAAACATAAACATATAGCTGTTTTATGAAAAACATCTTATTAATCCTTATAGGTCACACATTTCAAATTCAGGTTTAACAGTGAAAAAATGTTACCTCACAAAATATCAGCTCAAAATGTGTTATTACTCCTTATAAAAAAATTAAGACAGTACAGAAAGAACTTACCTTTTTCAGAGGGTTCTGTTGCATCGATATCTGAAATAGAACACAGAACTGTCATAAAATTACCCACAGAGCTAACAGAAGTTACTATATATACTCGCTGTAAAACTGAAACTGAGAAGACAACCTACTTAAAACCATACAAGAGCAGGCTGTTCTTTGTTGAATTTGACTCATGTCAGTGGAATTCCAACTGGCCAAGTTAAACATGACCTAATCTGTTATCTAAAATCCCTTAAATTAAATGTGAAATATATTAATTGACATTTGTGCAAGGATAAGCATCAGTATTTATCCACTTTTAAAAGTGTAAATGTATCAGCAGAACTGTGCATCAGTAGATTAATCTAGTTACTGGGTCCAGCAGCAACTTGGACATTTTGGGTGGGCTCTGGAAACACTTCAGCTGTCTTACAGGCCTTTGTTCGTAGTGACATGGTGAGGCTGCGCCTGCCCATCCTGTGGGGTCTGTGGAGGTCAGCCTGATGCTCTGCACATGGCCTACCCATACAACAGACAGTACCGCAGCCAGCAATCATGGAACAGCTGTGCAGGTTCCTCAGAAGGAGGTTACCCTGGCTGGTTGGGGTTTTTTATGGGTGTTTTTTTTCTAATACCAAGGGGCAGAATTATTTAAATGAAGACTAAGAGCAAGTAAGCAAGCAACAAGGAACACGTAAAAAATAGTTACAAGGACACAGCTGCCTTCTTTTATGGAAGCACATACCTGCATCCATTTTACATACAAATCCCTTTTTTTCTCTGCATGGAGATAATTGCCAGACTCCATCTGTGGTCCTCAGGCTGATACAGAAATTCCCTTTGAGATGATCAAATTCCGGCTCCCAGATGCCCCAGTTTGAATAATTTAAGGGAGAACCATCAAACCAGGAGATTGTCTCATCTAAGGGCAGAAGTTAAATATCATAAAATATCATAGTATTTTGATAATATCTCTATTTCAGTTGGACTTAGTCTCACAAAAAAAAAAACATATTATGGAAGGCCAAGATTTTGTATGTTTGGCCACTATATTACTTTTTTTTTCTTGAAGGATTTAAAGACATCCTCTGTAGTTGATACAGAAGACAGCCTGTAGTGCTTCTTTAAGAAGAAAATAAAGTCATTCACATGCATGCATACATATTGAGTATTCAGAATACCAGTAAGTAAAGATTACAGAAAGCTTGACTGGTTTACGACAGCATGAACAGGTAATAAGCAGCAAAAAAAAGTCTCAAAAGAAAACAGTGTTTTGGAAGATGGTTATGCTAGCATCAAAATGACCAAAAACCAAACCAGATTCTTAAATGCAGTTCTCTTCCACCCAAAACTTACTGTCTGTAACAAGCAGGTTGTTCAACCAAACCATTTGCACAGAATAACCAAAACTGTGCAATTCTTCCAAAATGAACGCATTTTCATCTTCATCTTGAATAGTTAGAAGATTTGATCCTACAAATTAAACACAGAACAAATTTTCAATCCGTGCCATTAAAATATCACATTGAATTTCAAAAAGTTAATAATTGAAAAGCTTGAAAAGTCTGGTTATACATTATAAGTTCTTAAATTTGCAATTAATGTGAAAATGCTCAGGCTGATATAAAACTGTTCTCACATTATTTTAAAACAAGTCTGAAGGGGAAAAAATTAATTTTGTGCGTTATTCCAGAAATCAATATTTTCACATGGAAAGGAACATTTTTTGATGTATGTTGCCTCCAATTTCATAGTTGGCTTATGAGCTCCACTATCATTATCTTGAACTAGAGAAAACACATGCCATGATTTCAGTCATTTCAGAAAATGTGTTTTTTTAAGATATCACGATGACATTCTGTAGCTACAAAATAATCACTTACCTTGATTTTTGCAGACTTCATATGCAGTATCAAAACTTGTGCCCTGCAGAACTGTGGAAAAGCTGTAGCAACTGTTTCTGAATTTGATCCAGGGAACAGTTTTTTCTGAACATAAGCCTTTATAGGCAGTGAGTTTCTTTTCTGTGATAGAAATAACAGCACAGCTTTATTGGCACAACAACATACATATTAATATAACATTCCACACACTGTTTTGGAGTAATGCTAATAAGCATGTTATTGCATCACGCCTCTGTTTTTCAAAGTTAAAATCTAGTGGTTGTATATCTTTGTATTGGAAGAGTAAAGCTGGTTTTATATCTGATCAAGAACCTTGTTGTATTGCAACAGCAATATCAGGATAATCTAATCAGTACTGATGTGCAGAGGAAGTTATGAGCAAACTACAGGCACATCAAGGCACTCCGGGCTGCCCAGCGTCTCCAGAGCGCTGGGGATTTCCAAGGACTGCAGAACTTCTCTCCAATAAGCCGCAAAGACAACTTACACCAAATACTGTGGCAGAGAGGAGAGTTTCCCAAGAGAAAGCAGCAGTCAGCTTCTCCGGCATGCAACGTGCTGCGGCACAGAGTCCCTCTGACTCAGGGCAACTCTACAAGCTCACTTTGTGATACTCTGCATCACTTTTTGGCAATGCTGCAGATTCAGCTACGTTAGCTATGGTTTCACATTCATCCTACTTTGTTACAAAACACATTTTTTTAAAATTAAGTAAAACTTAGGCTATATGTGATTATATAGCTTGACAACCAAATAAGAAAATTAGTCAGCTTCATTACAAAAACCATGCTAAAGAATAATTTTTTGTCTTGGAGGGTTCCAAAACAACTTTCTTCACAACAGATAAAAAAGCTATAATCTGTAGGCGAACCCCTGGTGATCAATACCATTGAATAAGAACTATTTTGAGAACTGGATACTGCCAGAGACTTTCCAGTCCTGGACTGAACAAAGTTCCAGACCTGAATTCTGGATTCAACTGAAGCCAAGGTAACTGACAGAGTGTTGCAGGAAACACAATATATTTTAGGAGACAGGAAAATATTCTTATCTTTTTTAAAAAAAGTTGCAAAATCTTTTATGTGCAATCACTGAAGAGGTGACCCTAATTTTTCACTTTGCTCTAAATGCTTCCCTTCTCCCATCCCACAGTTAATTGAAGCAAACTGAATTTATTTCCCTTTGAGCAAAGTTATTAGCAATCATCATTTTTCACAGATAATATAGTATTCACTGAAGAGACAGAGTAATTAATTTTCCTGTTTCTTTTCTCTTATGAAAGTTCTCTTTCCATTCTCTTACAGACCAGACCTGATGGGCAATATTTTATAGGGAACAAATGGTTTCACAAATAGAAGATACAGCAAGGAAATGCCAGAAATATACTTCAGTTTTGAATAATTCCATCATCATTGCTTAACCTCAAACCAATTAATTTCCTTTCATATACTTCCACTGTCAATACACATATTTTGCAGCTTCAAATTTTTAATATAAAACTTCACTTTGACTTACTAGGTGGCTTATGACAAACTGCTCCTTGCAGAAGTCGTTCACAGTTAGCACTTTTCCAGTGCCCCGAAGTATCAATGTAAACACAGCTACCAAAGGCCTGGGACTCATCATCTTCCCAAAAGGTAAACAAAGATCTCGTCCCATCTGACCATTCAAAGTTAAGTCCATTCTGCCAAAATAAATTTCAAATTATCTTTCTGATATGCTTTAGCACCATACAAGTTCATTTTCTTCTGGTGGCATCCTCAATAGATATTACAGAACGTCTTTTATGTCTCTTGAAGGCTAGGGAGATCCGGAAGAATCTACAAAAGACTGATCCAAGAATCCTCCCAGCTTAC